AATTAAACTCCCTGCTGTCCACTACATGAGTGTCTCTAGGTTAGGCCAGGAGATGCCTTCACATCTTGCCTTATTCCATCTACAATGATGGATGTTCCCTTTCTCCAACTCTTCCCCCACTTCAGGAATGAAGTTATCAGTTCACTCAAAGGAAAGTAAATAATCAGTGCTCCACGGACAGATGCCAGAGCTCAATTTATGTCTTAATATTGGTTTTCACCTGCAGATGCTAGGACTCTGCTGCAAAAGGTCATTTTCCCACTAATAGGATGGGGGGGAGGGCTGATGACAAGGAAAGACAGACTATTCACCCTAATAACGATGCTTCACCAATCCCAACCTACTCAGACTCCCCCACAAAAGACTACACCAAAGCTGAGCAGCCAAACCGAGTCAACAGAACACCAGATAAACCAGCACACAGTAACAAGGTAGCTACATGTTTGAAAAGAGAAGGAGAATAAGCCCCTAATAAGATAAAGCGCTAAAATCCTTGCTGAAATTTTCTGGGGGATACCTCAGCCTCGGCATTTCTCACTGGTCTGATCTGACGACTTTATTTACACTCATGTACAAAAATGGGAACCAGTCCAGCCCAAATAGTTACTGTTGTAGTTGTGTAGGCAGTCCCTCAGAAAAACTGGTTTGTTCTATCAGGGAGAAAGGAATATTGAATTTCCTTAGAGAAACAAGCATATTGAATGAAAAGCAAATTGGATTTTTCCCCAGTTGCACAATACCAGATCATATTTACTCTCTATACACTCGGAGAACTCTCTACCCAACAACAAAACAAATGCCATTCACCAGCTTTATTGACTTCTAAATGGGTAATTTGACAGCAGCTGGCATGTAGGAACTTTGTTTAAAAGTTTCTGCATTAAGATGAACAAACTTGTTTGCAAACGTAAAATCAGAAGACCAGGGAAAAGTGAGGTGAAATTCAAATCCCCTCTCTGGCTATCATGAATACTCCAAGGGAACTTGACGCACGAGTCAATACGGTGGGTTAGCAGCGGAATTCCGATCAGCTGTCCCTTCACTGACGGAGAAAGACACACTCAGCAGAGCTGGTACACATGAAAAACCGTAGCATGACAGTGGCTTTTCAAGGTGTGAAAACTTGTCCAGAGACAACCTGAAATACTATATGGAGCTCACTAATGTTGCAGGTATACAATACCTGTAAGGGGAAAAGGTGTTGGTGGGGGAGTCAAACCAGTTACACGGGACCATGCGCCGTTGCGGTGGGCAAGGGGATTATAAAAAGCTGCTGTAAGAGTATGGACTTCATCTGCTGGAGTAAGTAACATCCCTGGTATCTGGCAACGACAACCAGAGATGGACTTCAGCCTCAGTAACTGACCCACAACCTCAAATCATCTGTGCTGTCAACAGTTCAAAAAGCAACTGTAAATTAGACTTATTAACCTAGCACAACCCAGAGATAAGATGAAACTAAACACAGGAGAAAGCTGTCTAATACAGCACCGCATCCTCCAAGATGATGTCTGTGTCTGTGTAATAGTCCCACTCCAGGGTTTATCTTCAACCCATATGGGAGACTGTGCAGAAGATGAAATAATCACAGAGACAATTCCACCACCTCAAAGTTCCTCCTAAACACCAAGTTCACGTTTTTACTTCAGCATTACTTGCTTCTAAGAAGAGAGTATTACCTTAAAGCAATCCCTACACATCATGTTTACACCCTGTGCATCCCCTACACTCCAAGAATAGGTGAACAAGACTGATACAAGAGCAGAAAGCAGAAGTTGTAGGAATACACCTTGTACTTGCGTCTAGGAGTTGTGTCTGCTCAGCTGCTATCAGAATTTCCTACAGCACGTGTGACAAACACCTAGCAACTGCTAGCAGCTTTCTGAAAAGGCTCTGGTTTTTTTCTATGTGACACTAGAGAAGTCCCGAAAGGCTCTAGGACAAACTTGTGCTATGACACTGTTTCACAATAATCCTTCCATCACATTAAACAGTCTCTTCTCTGCATGATTTTGCATCGGCTATGACACTGTTTCACAATAATCCATCACATTAAACCGTCTCTTCTCTGCACGATTTTGCATCACCAGATTAAGCGACGCTGGAGGAAAGACCAGCAAGAGACCAAGCACTCCCTGGCAATTGGGCAGTTCTTGAGCTCTTGCCTGAAGGGAAATCCTCACAGAGTAAATGGTCATCCAAAAATCACTTATGCACTAACTTGTTATTACATACAGATAACACCTGAAAAGTTTTCCATTCTGGTTTACTGGCATCTTGATCACACTATTCATGTAATCATGTACTTCGTTTACAGCCGCAACACTCGAGGGTACGTGGGAATGGCATTTAATGAAACACGGTGGAAAACAACACACAAGTATCGTACTCTGGCATCTCTTTGCTTCTTCCCAGGTCATTAAAAAGACCCAAAAGAATCCTGCTCTAAGACACACAGCCGAGGTGGGGGCTGCAAACCCTTTGACAGGGACAGCATCACAGGTAACCCCTGTGGGATGCAGTTACGCTGCTTAGCACACCCAGAGCAGAGCGGGGCTTAACGACTCGCCTTTTTAACTCCTAACCAACCTAAGAATTCTTCATGCACTAATCACAACATAAATAATGAATATAAAGCTGAGTCATAAAAAATCCAAAAGAAAACACCTTAAGGTATTTGGGTCAGAAATCCTGAAAACCCCAAGTTGTTGATACTCCACTAGTTCAAATATCCAACATGAAGCATTACACCTACTTTGAAACTACCAATGACTGCTCTGAAATTTCATTCTTCCGCCTTCTTAATGTCATCTTTTCTGGTGTAAGTAAGAAAAAAAGCCAAAAAAACCCCAGAGGAAGGCAAAAGTGAAGGCCGGGGGGACAGAAGCTACATTGTCACCAGCAGGGCCATCCAAACAGATGCTATTTTTTTCTTTTTCAAGATGAAACGGTAAGACACTTGCGAGAGGTAATGCAGACAGTAGGAAGCAGAAAACTAGAGAATTCAGTGGTATTTAGCTGCTGTATTGCATTAAGAAATCTGTGTATTTGCTAAGAGCCACAGTGAGCACTAGACCCCCAAACTGCAAAGCAAATAGTCCACGTCCAGTGCCGCTTTCTGCAATGGTGCTGAAAACAGGTTTGTCCCTCCTGTGCTAACAGTTAAAAGAGCTCTTAACAAGGAGCCTAAGTGTACCATGCGGAACATATTCGGTTAGAACAGAGTTTTATTGTTCCTCTGCCATCCTAAGGATCTCTGATCTCTCCTTGTCACTTGTCTCCGAAGGGATATCAGCATTTTCGGGCCATTTATTACAAGCATCAACTACTAAACTCGTGCAAGAGCTAAGAGCATACAATCCAACACACTGCTGACACTTTCAAGCTTAGGGCAACAGGAATTACCTATCTACACTGTGCTACTCCTGCTCTGTACAACAATGATTTTTGAAAACCTGATTTCCCATGGAAAGAGAAAATACACTGTCTAGCTAAGAGACTTGAACACCTCAACTCTTGTCCCACAGCTTCCACAAGTTTCCTTGAAGATCATTGCCAAGGTCCTCCAAACAGCCTGCAGCATAATTTTTTTCCAAATGCTAAACAAATGATGGGTATACACAGTATACAAAAATAAATTCACTGGTGTTTATGAAGTGCTCGAGTGCATCACAGACACAGCAACCACTTAACTATGCACATTGGGGGTACAAGGAACAGCTTACTCCCACCAAGAATTGCAACCTTTCAGGCACATCCAAGAAAAAACAATTTATCACAAAAGAGCCTCCAGCAAGATGGCTGGGGTCAGGCCTTTGGGGCTAAAGACATATATTAGGAATGTCCCACAAAACCCACAAACCAAGACATTCTCTGTTTTTCCAACAGGCCCTCAGTGATATTTTGCCTTACGTCATGGTGTATTCCAACAAACAGCTTCAAAGAATTTTGCAGACACTGTTTCTTATAGGAGGGACCACAGTAAAAAAAAATACTATGTACTCCACAGATGTGTCACTGAGCAAAGGAAGGCTACGTGACTTAATCAAAGGCTGCCCATAAATTCAGCTACAGCTTTGTGGAAAACAGCTCTATTGTTTTACCAGCTCCTATTCCTCTTTGCCTTCTCCTAAACAGTTTGAAACCAGTGTTTTTATGTAGAAGAAATCATGAAAGACTGGGAGTTGTCTTCAGCCATTCAAAGAAAGCTGAAAAGCTTCCCTCCTACAGCTAAACTTGAAGAAAACCAAACCTGCAACTCAGACTCACAGAGCAGCTGTGGATCCCACACAACCTAAGGCTGACTTTATTCACAGTCTCTTTAAGAACGGGGAGGGAGGGAGGGAGAGGGGAAAGATGAATTGCACAAGGGAGGGCACAAATCATTCCTTTTCAGAGTAGGACACAAAATATATTTATTTGTTTCCCTATGAAATATTTAAAAATATTCCTCCCCTAATATATATTTTTACAAACCTGTAATAGTTTTGGCAGAAATTTCAAGCCCTGCCAAGAAAGCTATTTGGACTGAATCCTTAAAGAGAGGGAAAAATCAATTGCTGCTGTAAATGATGGTGTATTTCAGTGAGCATAGATTTAATATTGGGGAAGACTCCACTGATATTTCACCAGAAATAAACAACAGCAGACAAGTTATTTACAAATGTGTTTTAGAGAGATAGCTTGCCCCATTTCTTCACTGAAGCGATCTGCCATCAGTGAACAGGACCCTCACCTTCTCCTCCCTCAATCACTTTGCTTCTCTCCTCTTCCTCCAGATCCGGCCCTCTTTTCAGCTCCTCTTTTACTTTCACATCTTCCAAGGCAGTTTCCATAGCCATGACTTCCCCAAGAGTCTTCTGATCCTCTGTTTTATGTCTTCTGGGTTGAGTTCTTTTCCTGTGAGACCTAGAAGTATAGAAGTGTGATTTGACATAAAAGAACAGCCTTCAATATATAAAACGATCACTGGCTTAAAAAGCTCAATACAAAACAAAGGGTCTTCTTTGGAGAGAAAACACAAGGTAGCTAACAATAGCTACAGGGCAAAACAGATATCTGAAAGGAAACAGATGAACCTTGCATAACACAGCACTGACGATCCATTCAGCAGCCATTAATTGTCCGGGTTTCTTGAAGAGCTTTTTCCCACCATCACTAATGTAAGCTCACGAGCTGCAGTTAAAATTATTTTAATTGTATTTTACATGTATTTTGCTTATATTTCAAAATATAGATGAACACTTGTTACAAATCTCTCTTTCATCCTCTGCCTCCATGCCATCATTTCTTTTCATTCCGTGCATGCTTGCCTTTGGCAAACTGCTGGAAGTCTGCAAAGCTCTGAAACATTATCCAGCACTGCCAGTCCCTAAAAACACAGTACAATGAACGCTTACAGCATAATCAGTGATCAGCCTCTGATTTTTCACTAGCGTAATTCACAGGGTCCAAGGCCTGTGAAGAAGTCTAACTGAAAAAAGTGTGTATGACTACGTTGGAATAATACGGACAAGCCAGTGGCAACGTTGTTCTTTGTGAAGAGTCAACACCACTAAGACTGCAGTAGCCACAACATAAAGACAACTGCAAATTCAGAACTCAGGGAAATGTATTTTGGTTAGGAACTGTAATAAGAGCCAAGCACCCCCACAGCCCCTTGCTCACTCCCCACAGCCCCAGTGTCGTGGTTTAACTGCAGGGGGTAACCAAGCACCACAGAGCTGCTCGCTCACCCTCCTCGCTGATCAGAAGGGCAAAAGTAAGAAAGCTCTTGGGTCGAGAGAAGAACAGTTTAATGACTGAAATAAGATGTAATAGTCATCATCATCATCATTGAATCAGGGCTGGGTTGGAAAGGACCTTAAAGCC